ATTTTGAAGATGTAAGCCAAAAAGACACTTCCATGGTTGTACTATCCGTTTTCGCTCTATAAGTTACGCTTTTACCTATTCTTGAACCAAGGCTTTCGCCACATCAGTGCATCAGCTATTTCGGTAACCTCTGTATTGTGTGTAAACATGGCATTTCATTCCAAGCAATGTGCTAACTGCGAAACCGTATTTTATAACTTCTTGATAAGGACCGATTTCTTGTGCCACGAAGCATTCGAGAATAAATGCTTTTTTTAATTACAACTAGCATAGAAATACTTGCCCTACGGCGTCTTATAATTTAAGTACAAACCTCTTGGCTTAGCTGCGGACGAGTCCGCTTGAACATGCTAGTATTGGAGACGACCAGAACTGAGACATTGCTTGCATTTATTTCTCACCTGTAGATAGCCGTCGTAAGTGCTAAGCTGCCAATGGAGCTGCTTGGTTTGTTCGCCAGCATCTAGAGCGTTCTCAGAGTAGTTGCTTACCTGTGGCATGGATAGGCGGATAATGACGTTATTCGTAGATTGCCATTCAACAGCGAATAACTTGCTAACTACTGCGCGTATCGCATTGCTTTTACTTTTACTGTAATCAGCGAGCTAAGCCGGTTCTGATTAGCGCATTTCTGTACGACTATTCGCAATATTCTAGCCTTGGAGAAGGTCCTTTCTTTTTCTGAGCTTAACTCAGTTTGAAGTTTGACGCTAGCAGTCAAAATTAGCGCAAAATGTTGAGTATACTTTTCGTTAATTTGTTGTCTCTGGTTAAGTACGCCGTCTTTGTATGTCACCCACAGTACGCGTTTTATTTTTATTTACATTTCTATAAATTATTCCATACATGTTCTTGTAAGGTTTAATTCCGCCGTGCCTATTGCTTTCCAGGTGCGTATCAATAAATGTGAGGACATAGCGTGCCGAAACTATCCAAATTATTTTGGTGAATATCTTGGTGAATTGGATCCTACTTCCGGCGAAAACGTGCACAAGTAGAACTCTGTGCAACCTTTTGCCACTAATAAAATCAATGAGCACAAGCATCACCTGAAGGAGCCAAGTGGATTTCAAGTCCAATGCAATTATAGTGAACATCGTAGGGAACTGGATGCTGCATGCAAATAAAGCGTGCAAGAATGCGGCTCTGACCGGCTTTTTGCCACTACTAATATCAAGGAGCAAGAAGTTGCCTTCCGGATCCAGATGCACTTCACGGTTAGCGCGTACAACCCCGTCAACTGGACACATAAAAAGGCAATGCATTTGTGCCTGAGAACAAGGTGCATACGCTCTCACTCTTCTCAATCCCCATAAAAAAGCATGGGATTTCAGTGAATTTTGTTCTGTTCCCCTGCGAGCACAGCACCTAATAAGTCTAGAAATATACATTTATTTATTTAATTATTGATCTGCCTCGATACGTAAGTGTGGACTAACATAGCAGACGTTTGGTGAGTTTTCTTTGCATCAGCTCAACCTCTATACGGTCACACATACGCCAACTGGAGAACATAATCGAGCAGTACTACAAGTTTGTTCAGGCGCAAGATTTGTAGGGGAAAGCCGCGGTTCCGCAAGAAGCATCGGTTTGCAAGTCATACCTATGATTGATAGAGCGTTTGCAGAGCTATAGCCCGATTTTTCGGCGAAAGTAAGTTAGCTGGGGCATTTTACACAAAGGTCCCTGAGTGTAGTGCACCCTGCAATTGATGCACCAAGTAGTTGTAGCACGTCGGAGTGCACGATGCAACGGTATGCTGTACCTTTGCATGTTGCATTTGAAAAAGCCATTTCTACAGGCTTTACCAAGTTTCAAGAACTCTGCGTACACTATGTACACTGGAGATTCCGTTATGCAAGTGAGCTGAGTCGAAGGTGAAAACTGATTTAATGTCTCCTGCGATTAAAGAAGATTTACCGGGAGAAAGGTGTCAAATACGTCATTGATGCAGAAGAGGAAAATCGACAGGCCTTTGGCACTGCCCTGAAATATTCCACTGGTTACGTGTCTTGGTTCTGAATCCTTGTGTTCTAGTATATCCAACTGTAGGATTTGCAAGTTAGGTGGTGACGCAAAACGACAGTTGGTTAGAGATACCGAAAGACCTAAGTTTCCTCAGTGTGTGGGACTCCATCGGCGGCTTTCCAGATATCCATAGACATTAGAATCAACGTAAATCCTGTGTCTATCTTACGTTTCACCATGTCCAGGAACTCTAAATGGCAGGTCTGACATGACTTAGCCGACCAAACTCTAAGTTGGGACCTGTTAATAAGGTTTCGCGGAAGCGGGATGTCCTGCATTCTCTCCTTCACTAGCCTCTCCAGCAAGTTTAATGCTTGCGGCGAGTGACTGATAGGGCGGTCACGGCTAATGTCTGGCAGGGAGTCGCTTTTGTGTCTTGGTACACACTCGTACGCTTCTAGGCTGTTGGGAAGTCGCCGTTACTCAATGATAATGTGAATATATTAAGCAGTGTTAATAAACGGACTTTTGTAGCTCTTTGTAGGGCGGGCGCTTGCCAGGCAAAAACCCACCACGTCCTGGAACACGGTCGTCGATTGCTATGAACGGTCATGTACAATTGGCAAAGTTCCTTATGAAGCAGACTGCACTGGCGAGGTTGGAAAAGCACGGATGCGCGTTTTATCCTTCCAGGAATCGTCAGCAGGCGCAGTTCGTTGGACCTTGGTAGGCCTGGAACCCGCAGTTTTACTGTTTTAAGTTCGTGGTAGAGACCGCTGAGCTACGGGGGACATGAACGGTGAGGTACTTCTGCTTCGGCTTTTCAGCAGAAGAAAAGTTGCTTTAAAGTTGTTTTGGTCAGAGGGGGCTGCTTTTGTCAGCTAGCGTAGCATCGGACTGCTTGTTCCTACACTCTGGCTGGAACCTATTAATCAGTATAGGGAGAAGTGAGCTATTAGTCTTAGCATATAGCCAGTAACTGCTGGAGTTTGACGTCTGCCCAATGCAAGGGAACTACACCTAGTAATGGTTTCAAAACTCGTCATGATGGCTTGTGTGCAAATAACGCTATGCAGAATTCTAGATAGCCGTAGAGTTCGCGTACGGCAGCGCCGATATCACTGGTCAGGGAGAAGCAGTCACAATTCAACGGCGGTAAGAGCATGGAAAGGCTGTTTTACTTAATGTGTTGTAGTGGTCTGGACATGGCAGTTCCTCTGGTCCTAGTGAGCGTTAGGTTAGATTGCCTGAAAGTCAGCTGTGCTACTTGGAGGTCGCTACCTGGGCTACTATCCGGCACACTAGCGAACGCATGGAGGGGGCCACATATAAAGTTCATGTCTAAGATTTTTGACAGCCTAATAGGTACTCTTACTTGTTGAACCCCTTCATTTGCTGTTGTCGTGTTTAGGAAGGATGGGTATTGGACAGTGTCGTCTAGTTGTCCCATTGGATGTGTGGCAGTTTGAAATCTCCCCTTACTGTCTTGTGTCTGATGGGGAGTTCAGTCACATGGAACAATGACCTACAACTTCATCTACCCGTGTTTTAGTCGAACGTGTGGTTATAGGTACGGCCAATGAGCATATTAAGGCAAAGTGGGTCATCATAGGACTGAATCCAGATGGAAGCTTGGGGATTTTTAATATTATGGATTACAAGGGATGAGTTAGCCAACTTGTCGTGGGCCTATATGAAGCAACCTTCATCACGGTTGCTTGCACTGCCATTGCTAAAGATCCCGCAGCCAGGATGGATTAGGGGCAAATCAGGCTTTGGCGTGGAATGCCAGGTTTCCTCGATATGAATCACTAGTGGAGCGCATAGAAGTACAAGGGGGCTATTTGATGCATTGTATGTCTGCTGGATTGTGTATTGATGAGAAGAGCGTGATGCAGTGCTTGGAGGCTCCGACCGTTGGGCGCAGGTGGAGAGACAGTATCATTGTGGTTTAGGCAACTGCAGGGGCGCCACAGGAGAAGGTCAAGTGCACTTTTCTTGTGCAGCGTGCGCTTTCGTCGGCGAGAATCGGATGGCGGAGTGAAGGGGAAGTGCGTGCGTTGCTCAGATGTAGCCTTCACGAGTGTGTGTTCATGTAGTGGTAGGGTTTGGTAAAGTTGTTTGCTGGCCGTCGACGTCTGGGGGTAGAATTGGAGTCTGCATGGGCCAACAGCATGGCTGAAATCAGCAGTTTGAAGCTAAGTGCAGATTTGTAGCGATTGCTGTGGTGTACAGCAGGTGCTGGCATATTGCATAATAAACGCGGCTGATACCATCATGGTGTGGGAAACCTGGCCATGTAGGTCGGGTGGTAAAAGTCCTTCAGTGTGGAGAAGCGTGAGACCGAGGGTAGGTCGATTCCCTGTGGGTAATGTCAGAGTATTTAGCCATGCCCACTGCTAGGGCTACTAGTAGATGAGCAGGTGTGTTTAAGGATGGTACTACCAGTGGTTTGCTAGTGATCTCCTGGCGGCTTGCTTGGTTACGGTGAGTGGTTAGTTCGCTAATGTAATCAGGTTGATAAAATTTTACCAGACCGGCATTGCCAGAAGATGCGCTTGCAACCTCGGTAAGTTTATAAGATGTGACATGTGAAATAAAGTGAGCTGGTTTGCTTGCTGAGTGAAAGGTGGTGGGCCATGCTTCGTGACATCCAGTATAAAACTAGTATTGATGTGTTTAGTGACATCAACGTTGAAATGACGGATGGGAGTCGGTTGAGATAAGGGCAACTAGGGTAAGCAAAGGAGGACGGCTAGGCGAAGGAATTCGCGTCGGCGCTAGCGCCACCTATGCAGGCACTAGCGTTGGACACTCGTGACCTGTTAACACCTTGGTCCCGAGTATGCACCACACGATGTGGTGTGTAGTCCGGTTTCTAGAAAAATACAAACGTCGAGAGCCTTTAGCACTTTCTGCATCACAGGATAGCTGGCTGTGAGACTCGGTGAGTTTTATGTTGCGCAGGATTTCACCGCACGCTTAGCGAGCGGTTCACTACAGCTCTGTTCAAAGTTGTTAGGTCAACAACCTTATGCCAGCTGTTTGTTGGGTTGCTTGTCGTACATCATACGTTTCATAGCAAAAGGTGGGGTGTTGTTTGCAGCATTGGGCGAGGAGTAAACGAAAGTATAGTGGACTATGTCATTTGGTGATCTCGGTGCGATTGCATTGTGGACCACCCTATTCAACCCGCTGCATTTGGTACCCTCAGGCGACTCAAGTAAGTACAAACGTCGAGTCGGGTTAGCGCTTTTTAGGGCGAAATGGTTCTTGCGTCGTAACAAAGCTTGGCTAGCAGTTGACGATATTTTTGCACGTAAGGTATCCGCAGGCGATTGGTCGGCCGTCTTGAAATAGACACTGTCCAGAAGTTGAGGCATGTGGAGTGTACTTTCCATAAAACATGGTGCTGGTTGGCGTTCAGGTTTAGGTAATACATTTCTCAAAGCTGTTGTACTGAGGGATAGAATTCCCAGCATGTTAAGCTCGCTAGGTAGTGGCACACGCAAGTTCAATGAAAGTTCTCCATCCTGAGCTCATGAAGTCGTCGAGCAAGAAACCATGCCTCCTGCAGAGGTTGGGCGTATACGAGTGCCGTTAGTCGAGGAAGCGGTTGTTCTCTTATATTTCTTCGTATGAGTTCCTTGGCCGCCGTGCGGTGGTATAGACTGTGAGGCGTTGGCTGAAAACTGTTGTGGGGACAAATCTAGGTTTACGCTAGGCGTGTGACGTCTTGGATAATGGCGTATAGCGTCATGGTCGTACTGAGGCTCCACTTAATGCTGCTGCTTTACTTGATAAAGCAGACGCTAGTTGAATTGGCATTTCATCCGGCTCTATTATAACAGGTCCGAAGTTGAGCCGCAGTCTTAGTTCACGTTTTATCATTAGAAAGAGTTTAGCTAGCTCCTGGCTGCACAAGGTGAGGATAATTGGGAAATTGCGTTGGCTACTCCGCCCCCTCAGACGCTTACATGTGCAAGCGTCAGAAGCAAAGTCGGCGTTTTAAGCAATTGATGGAGGAACCGGTTGTTACTAAAAGCCAATAAAGAAGGCTAACTATTCTACTGAATGGTAACAGGATGACAAAATAACCAACAAGGAGGAAAACGCACAGGTTCAAACTTCCTGCGGTCAAGCTGCATAGATCAGTTGCACGTATGTCAGGCGTTAACACTAGAAATCCGAGTAGGTTGGATTTAGCTTGCGCTGATTTCTTTTCGGTTTACTCCTCTTTCACATAGTCATTTAGGTCCAATAGCTGTATTATGAGAATAGTGGACGCCACCGTCTACACAACTAGTAAAGATCAGCCGGTATCACAACGGTACAAGTAGTCTTTACCAATGGCGGCCATATAACTGATAAAACAATTTAGTAGCTTCCATAGCCCTTGTTCTCTTCCCGACAATTTCGTAAATCCCATGATACTGTCCATATAAACTAACGCATGACAATAACAAACCCATCCGCTCAGACAATCAGCATTTATTACATGCTATCTTCACCATCAACCCATTTTCACCAATATTATCTAGTACTACCTACCAACGTCTCCTGTATTATCCAGGTAGACCTAGTTCATTCAGCCTTGTTATATACATCGCAACCACTTAGACTTAAACATAGTGAACTCTGTATTTATAATGGTTTACGTGGTTCAGTATCCTCTGAAAATGTTACACAGAAGCCTTCTGACCTTGGGCTAATCAAATGGTGTTTTGGAGACCCTGGCAAATATAGCATTCGATACTGAATTCCCAGCGTTTCCGCGAAGCGCTATCGCGTATTTACTAATAGTTGCTATGTATGCCTGAAAAGTCTACTTTTCGGTCACTTACGTCGTGCCTCGTTACCGCGGGGAATTGTAGGCAATATAGAGCATTTCTAGCAAGGTATGCCTGTTTGGAACTTAAACCGCTTCACCACTTTACTTTCTTTTTGCTTCTTCTATCTGCTTATAAAGCAGAAAGCCTTTCTAACGAACAAATAATGACGTTATTTGTAGCTTGCCACTCAACCGCAAATAACTTGCTAAACACTGCTTTTACATTTACTGTAATCAACGAGTATAGTCGGTTCTGATTGGCACAGTTCTGTACGACTATTCGCAATATCCAAGTCATAGAAAAGCTTTTGCTGCTTTTCTGCGTTTTACTCAGTTTGAAATTTGGCGCTAGCGACCAAATTTAGCGCAAAATGTTGAGTATGTTTTTCGTTAATTTGTTGTCTCTGGTTAAGTACGCCGTCTTTGTATGTCACCCACAGTACGCGTTTTATTTTTATTTACATTTCTATAAATTATTCCGTACATGTTCTTGTTAAGATTAATTCCGCCGCGCCTATTGCTTTCCAGGTGCGTATCAATAAATGTGAGGACATAGCGTGCCGAAACTATCCAAATTATTTTGGTGAATTTCTTGGTGAATTGGATCCTGCTTCCGGCGAAAACGTGCACAAATAGAACTCTGTGCAACCTTTTGCCACTAATAAACTCAATGAGCACAAACATCACCTGAAGGAGCCAGGTGGATTTCAAGTCCAATGCAATTATAGTGAACATCGTAGGGAACTGGATGCTGCATGCAAATAAAGCGTGCAAGAATGCGGCTCTGACCGGCTTTTTGCCACTACTAATATCAAGGAGCAAGAAGTTGCCTTCCGGAGCCAGATGCACTTCACGGTGACATGTACGGCCTCATTAAGTGTACACATGGAAATGTCTTGCATTCGTAATTGCTAACAAGAAACAAATACTCTCACTTTTCTCACTCTCCAGGCTGGAGCATTGAAATTGTGTACTTATTGATCTGATCCCTTTCGGGCACGGTATGTAGCAAGCAAAGCAACATGCATTTATTTACGTACACATACCACCCAGTCTGAGAAAAATATAAGCCTACAGCCTTTTAGACGCTCCCATTAAAGGCGTTCTACCAGACCAAAGCATCGTATTAGACGTCAGTGGTACTCGTTGCTGTTGACTCACATCGTTCAAATGAAAGTTATGAAGCAAATGATCCAAATAGTTTCGCCTTACTAAACAAAGAAATGAATATTTATTCTCCACCATATTAGGCCTTTCTACGGAGGCATGATTTAATAAATAGATTAATAAAAGTTTTGTTATCTACTAATCATGGCTAGCCTGCACAGGCATGATCCTTTTAACAGTACAAAATATGGTCAGGTAATGTAAATGGAACAATATATTTGTCATATAGGTTGATATATGCATGTATGTGTTTGGATGTAGGCAAGTGTAGCTGTGTGTATGTTATTGTTGAGTGTTTTCTTGCAGTTTTGGTCCGGTTTAAACGCGTCGCCAGTACTGAATAAATGCTTGACGTTTGTGGACTTTAAGCAATTGTCCTGATAGGCACTGGGGTGACTTTAGTTGGTGGCGAGTCACACCTAACAAGGCGCAGTGTTATTAAACAGGTATTTGTAGCATTATATATGGGGAATGCTTGCCAGACGAAAACCAACTACATCCTGAAACACTGTTGCTGAGCTATATGCTTGAAAAGGGTGAACCCCAACCACCCATCTGGCGCCTCGAAGAGGTTGTTCTGCTAGCCAGCGCCAGACCTTTCGTGGTTATTGCAACGGTGACAAACGAAAATTGTTCACACGTTCATGTTTGAAACTCTAAAGTAGTACTGAAGTAAAAGTAAATAAAGTTCCTTATTGTGAAATCGGACACGTATGTATAAGAATAATCAGTCTGCTGTGCAGTGCAGTAATATAGCAGCGACAAATAGATTAACCAGTACGCTGCTTAATAAGAAAAAAAACTGGCGAGGTATAAGATCGCGATTTCACGATACACTAAGTTCATGTGTGGGTAACGGAGGGATCAACGGGGAATGAGCAGAAATAGGCAAGGCGACTGAATATGCAAATGTGAATGTGCCAGAAGTATCACAAATGGTGAAAGGTGGCGCTAGTCGACTTGCAAATATGAAGTCAGGAGTTGCGACTTTATTCAGCGGCGAGGCACATCCGCCACGTCAGTGTTGTTACTAGGACAGTTGTAGCTATTTATAGGCAGAAGGCTTGCCAGGCGCAAGCCCACCAAGTCCTGAACCCTGATAACAACCAACTCATATCGTTAGCGAGCTAACCACGGTGGTTTATTTATAGCATCGGAGTTTATGTCGTCTAATTTCATCGAAAAACACGCGTCTTACCTGTTAGACAAGCAGATAACTTTTGCGAGCAATTGGCCAGCTTTTCGCTTACCAATATATTAATGCAGTCACTATTTCTGCCATTCATTCATGGCCCAGAAACTGGAGCTCAAACAAAGGCTAGCCGTGCCAAGGTCAGGGGCTTACGTAGGAACGGTGCGAAGACAAATGCAGCAATAAACCCATGACTATTGTGGCAAAGTAAACCAAAATGAACTGTAAATGGACACCTTCGCTACTGCTGGGATTGTCAAAGCATCGCAATGTAGTTCTGTCATATTCTCTCTTAGCAGCACTAGCTAGAGTGGGTGCTTTAAAATACAGACTAATTTGGATAAACAAAGAACGCATCCGTCCAAAAAAATGGCGGAAATTGCCCCTCGCCCGTTTATTAGATGTGTGATATACTAAACTTCCAGCTGTCCTCCAGGAGACTGGTAACATGCTATCCACTATCTCAATAGGGACCATCGACCGGGCTGGGCGTGTCAATACTCTAATAGTATTCAGTATGTCTGACAGATCTCTATTGAAAAAGCTGAAGGGTAGGTTACCAAACAATGATGAGCTTTTTCTGACAACTACACGTATAGAGGCTTGCAAAAGAGAAATAAAATCAAGTTTGTTTGGTTATGTTTACATACCGCAATCAACAGCGTGCCGAAAGCTTCTTCATGAAAATGCACGAATGCCGGCAACGCCTAAGTATCGGGCGAATTCTAGAGCTTCCTGCGAAACGCCTCCGCAACGAACAGTTGCAATGTCCAACAGAGTCTTAAAGATAAAAATGGCCTAGGAAGCGAACACTGTTGTAGGTACCGCCGGCCAGTACGAAACGTCGCATTGTGTTGAGTTGTACCCAACTCCAAGACAGATACCAATGAACTATTTACATGACTCGAAATCAACTAGCTGCCAACTCGTAGGCAAAAATGGGACCACCGAGCCAGAGCCTACTCTGCAAAACACTTACCAAATAGCCCCGAATACTAAAGGAAAACACCCTCGGTGATTGACACTGAAATACTAGTTGCTGACCCCTCAGACCTAAGCAACTCCCTGCAAAATGACCTGAAGCTTCTGGATGCTACTTCAAGGAGAGCCTGTCTTTAATATACAACAAATGTGGTTCTGCCTTCCCTGCTAACACTGAACCAGTAATTATAAGTGACTTTGTTCTTGGTAAATATATAGCAAGCCCCACAACGAATGGCCCCATTATGAAGACACAACGGTAAACAAGTCACAAGTACCCCGCCTAATCCACGAAAGCTGGACTCTGAACA